GTACTACGCTTTGGGTTGAAGTAGATAGGGTAAAATAAATAATATACCCCGAACTTTGCCTTAGTGTGAGTTCCCCACCTCGAACTTCTCCTAGTTTAAAAAATACCCCCAACTTTATTTATTTAAATTTTTTGTACCATATTTTAATTAACAAATAATATTTCTCAAATTATAATATGTTAATTAGATTTAGTTGTCAAAAAAAGATTAATTAACATATTTTTTGTACTTAAATTAGAGATTTTGAAGTTATTTAATCAATTCGAAAAGCACACATTAATTTGGGAATCACACATCTTTTTTTGCCAACTAAATCTAATAAAAATATTACAATTTGAGAAATATTATTTGTTTATTAAAATATGGTACAAAAATATTAAATAAATAAAGTTGGGGGTATTTTTTAAACTATGACAAGTTTGGGGTGGGGAGCTCACACCAAGGCAAAGTTCGGGGTATATTATTTATTTTCCCCAAGATAAAAGGTATAGACATGTCACTGTACAAGAACAATACTGCTTTTCAGAGCTTTTCAGATTACAAATAGGAGAGGTTTCCAATTACTCTTCCACGAATTCCGGCTCTGTCTAGTAGAAGCTGTTCACGATGAGGTCGTCACCTCATTTCATCGCCCGGAGTAGCTTTTCCGTAACCTCTTTCTGAGCCTGGCTTTTGATTTCTTTCGGTTCCACCACGCACCCTTTCACCCGAGCTTTGCAAAACTGAAACCTTGTTATTTTAAGGTGATGGAAGTCCGGCGACGGTGAACATCTCTGTGTCCGACTCCACCCCTGAACCTTGTATGCCATGATCTTAGCTGAGCAGATTAAGGAGAAGCAGCACGCACGACCTGTTGAACACGATTCTTGGGATGCTCAGCCCCTCGTTTAAATCCAGATCTCTCCAAATCTCCATTTTGTGGGAAAAGCTAAAAAAATGAAAACTGAATTATCTGGGATGGTGAAGGCTGGCTGAAGGAGTAAACAAGGTGTGGGCATGTTAGAATAGAAAGAGACATAATGTATAGGGAGGAATAGGCCTGGGACCGGTTCGGTTCCTAGGCCAAATATGTGGAACCGTTTGAAAATATGAAATTTTACTAACGGTTCGGTTCTTATAAATTATTTTATAGAACCGATAAGGAACCGAACCGTTCTTAACGGTTCGGTTCTTGTCATTTAACGGTTCCTAGTCTTTGAAAAAATTATTACAAATCATGACTAAATTTTTGCCAAAAAGACATTCTACGTTTGAAATTACGCTACAAATATGCTTAAACAGTTAAAGAGAACAATAATTTTAAATACTTTGGACCTTCAAAGTTTCAACCCGCTGAAGTGAATATTAGTTTTAAATAGTTGAATAACTAAACTAAAATAATGAATGTAATATAAAAATAAGTAAGTAAATATACATTAAAATATATATACTCATAAGAAATATATATAATTTTAATTATTATATATAACGGTTTCTTAACGGTTCCTAGTACATATTTTTTTCAGGAACCGAGAACCGAACCATTAATAAAAAATAGGAACCGAACCGTTAAAAAATAACTAATAAATGGTGGAACCGAACCGAACCGGGTCATAACGGTTCGGTCCGGTTCGGTTCTCCGGTTCTTGGTTCCAAAGTCCCAGCCCTAGGGAGGAAGACAATCGATGGGGTGGATGGCAAGAAATTTTGGGAAAGGGAGTAATGGGAGACCGGAGGTGAGAGAGAGAAATTAGAAAAGGTAGCTATGAAATGATTAGGGGTATTATAGACATTGTATTTATTTTGTTTACCAAAAATAGAAGTGTTGCAACTAATTTGAAACTGCCAAAAAAGGAAAGTGCTGCAATTATTTAGAGACTGAGAAAGTACTTGGTATTTTATTATATGACAATACTCAAAATGACACAATAGTACCTCATTTGAGGATTTTTCACATAACAATTGGTAAAAGATAGGAGAAAAGGATATCACTGGAGTATTTATAAGATTTTTTTCAATTTCATTCAGTTCTTTTGCTTAAATTTTTTAAGAGTTGAATGAATGAATGAATTTATAAGAATAAATAGATTTTCAGACTACCCCGTTCCTGTTCTTTTTTCAAATAAATAGATTGCTACAGTGTTCCCGCCCAAACTCTCCTCCCACTATTTTGTTATTATATATAATATATAATAATATAGATATATAGATATATTGATATAAGCAAAAAATCCTAGCAGACGATATTAATGTCTGCCCCCAGCCTTAGGCTCAAACAAAATCTTTATTCTCGATAATGAATAATAGTTCACAAGACCTCCTTAAATAATCCTTAACCTAATAATAAAATATGGTCATCTAGGCCCAGTAACCTAATAATAAAATATGGCCATCTAGGCCCAGCAGTCAACCCAGCCCAATTAGGTACACCGACAACGACAGTGAACTAATAACGGGCGAGACCTGTCCTCCTGAAGCATCGTCCCAGTTGCCTCTTCCTAGAGCCTCGGCCCATCTGCCTCCCACTCCCTAACATATATATAGATTACTTAAGTTACTGAAATTAATGACCTAATTTTACTTATTTTCTTAAGTTACTCTAATTAGATATTTGTTCTAACTCATTTTTCTTAAACATTTGTGTCATATAAAGACTAAACAATCTGCATAAAAGTAAACTTTGAATACAATCAATCAAGTTAGATTTTAACATTTTTCAAGGTACAAGCAAATACCAAAAAAGGCAGTTTAGTTCTATTCTGCAATACCATATTCTCTGTTAAAAGTATTGCATACATAACCATCAAATAAACTCATTTGTCTAGAAAATAGGATATCCTAGCTGCCTAGTCTCAAGAAATAAAATTAACAAGACAGCTAAAACATCAACTATCCCTAATATACAGGAATATCCTTAATTTTGCTAAATCATAATTTCAATACAGAAAAGAGAGGCATTGTACTAGATTACTAGATCAGATTTTATAACAAAAAAATTATCTGAATTAACAATTTCTTGACCTATGTTTCAAGTGTCAACGAACAGCCACTAAATCGAAGAGTTTTCATAAAAGAAATGATTTTTGCATTTGGGGTCCATGAGGGAATGATAAAAAGAGACAACTTCATTTAAATAAAGAAAGATTTTTACTAGTGCCTTCTTATCCGTCATTGTTCATATCCTTTCATACAACTTCCATCAAACACATGGTGGGCATTGTTCATTTTGAACACTGCTAAGAATGAAAAGAAACGATTCAGTCAAATACATCATACAACCCTCACTAACTAGAAACGATTCAGTCAACAACTCCTAAGAAAATCAGATGCAAATATTGAAGGGCAAGAGTTAATGGAGAAAAGCACATCAAAAGCAAAAATTGGAATCTGCTATGAGCTATTCAATTTTTAGGGCAATTGATTATATTCAAAGAAATAATGAGTGCACTCGTGATTTCCTACTTGAAACTGGAAAAGAGAAACAACGCTTCCTCTGTTGAAATTCAAGTAATTATATTCAATACCATACAAGTAGGACGAACTAACAGAACATAAAAGCAATCACATAAAGAAATCAGCTTGAAATCATTATAAGTAAAATGCATACTTAAGGTGTACATAAATCTCTCTTAATATTTTGTGCAGAGCATGCTTAGAGTACAGAAATCAGCTTGAAACAATTATAGGTAAAATGCATAACTAAAACTATATAGGCAGTTGAACTTTTAGGATAGAATGCTATGTGTTACCATTCTTACATTTTGGGAAGAACATAAGGTGATTGTTCACTGATATGGCAAGCAGAGCATCTCCAAGGTACGGAAGAAAATATATGATCATTGCCAAAATGCAAAGTTTAGTTTGATCGATTGCAGAAATTTCAAGTAAATATTACTCCGTACAAGATTAAGGTTTAGGGTAAATATTACGGAGTAGATAAATATTGACAAGCGACAAATCATGTACACTTATATAGTTATATATGATTAGCTTGTTCAATTTGTATCATATGACTAACAGGTTATCAGATCAAATATTTAACTTAAACAAGGCTTTTCAAAATATAATCAAACAGAGAGATATACCTTGAACCCAGACTTTCAAAAATTAACTTCATCTTGAGAAAATCAGTACACATTTCATAAATAAACAACGAGATTTAAGCGTACCTAATAATGCATTGTTTTCTGTTGCTATTGCAGCATAGGAGTCAAATAGCTATATATTATCTGATATTCCAAATGTTTTCATGCTTGAAAAACAATGGTAGATTAACTTCTCATACAAATATCATATAACAGGCCGAATTAATCCAATCAATAAATAGTCATACTTAATTCTATCAAAGTAATCTAACTTGCTGGAATTTGAAGTTTTCAATTGATTTAATTTCAGCCTTTACTCTCAACTCGAACAAGCACAAGCTCTACACTTATCAACAAAAACTGATCAAGTCAAACCATAAATTTGAACTTTTCATCTTCCAAGATGATTCTTGGATTTCAAACAGCTTTACCTCCCACCAATTGCGAGTATAACATACAAAATTCTAGTTTTGAAACTTGCAGAATAAATTCCATAACATATACAAACATCATAACATAGTCAGTTAAATAAACTGCACTCTCAGCGAGTCAGCGACAGATTCTATTGTGCAACATAAAATTTGATTATCCAATTGTTTCTCTTTGAGTGAGAAAGGAACACATCATTTTACATTCACTTGTTTCGTTTTTGAAAAGTTTGAACGCTGTACAATATTACCCTTTAAAAGTCATGAGACTGTTGACTGTAATAACTTATTGGTATGATCTAAAGAGAAGCTTCTCACAGGGTCACAGAGCTCATAAGAAAACTTTATAGGGCTAGAGTCCTTCTCTGAATATACCTAAGCTCTAAAATAGAAACAACCAATAAAAAAAATAGAATTCACTACTTTCAATGCCAAGCAAAGAAAGAAGTGCACAACGAATGATCTTTATAAAGAATTGATAGTGTTCATTCAATATCTGATAGATTGTCTGGAATCCTGGAGTGTTGAAAGCGAAACAGGTGTATGTAAAATTGATAGTGTTCAATATCTGGAGTGTTGATTAATACGAAGTAATAATAGTGCAATTCTTAACTAACAAAGTATTTATTAGTCAGGCAACTTTTAACTAACAACAAGCTAGAGCACAGTAATGAAATCCATCATCATAGTATCATACTAATCTAGTATCAAAGCCTTCTCAGTGATCCCACCCAGGCCGATGGAAGTGAAAAAATTAATTGCAAACCTTGCGTTATTCCGGTTGTCCCTTGGAAAAATAGAGGCAAAGGACTCTTGCATTGTTTGGTCATTCAGGCGTTCTTTCAAAAGCCGAATCCCAAGATGTTCATATAATTCTTGAAAGAGAATTTTGATGAAGATGCGGGAAGAGGAGGTGGTATATTCTTCTGTGAGTCGAATGTAAGCCAGAACATGCCAAGGCAGAGCATCTGTTCCAAGCAAGTGGGCAAAGAACTGGGCAACATTTGTCAGTTTATTGGTTTCCAACCGATGAACCGTTGAGTACTGTTGCACAAAGCACTTTTCAAAGTTCTCCTGGTAAATCTTGTTGATCATACAAAAACGCTGACCCAAAAGCCCATAGTAAGAGCGGTAGGTTCTCTCCTGGCTGCAGCACTCTAGAATCATTATGCATAATTCCATCTCTTGACCAGGCTCAAATTTAATCTGCAACAGTTTATGACCTGCTTCCTCAAAGCCTACACTCGACATAATTGTGAGATAGATTGTTCTTCGAAGGTTGACCAAGTTTGTTCCCGTCAGGTCAGTAATTTTCATTTGTTCTTCATGGTCTTCATCCTCTTCATCTTCATCTGCAGAGTCAGCATCAGAATCCCCTTCTCCCTCAGATTCATCACCCAGTATTGCCCTTTTCAAGTCTTCATACTTCTTTTCGTTTTCTAAGTAATTGGGATGAGGCTTGAAAATATTCAGTGCATCTTGGTCTTCTATGGCATCCTGAAGAGATATTTCATGGGTCACCTGATCCTCCTGCTCTACCAAATCGAGCTCCGGACGAACAGCAGGATAACCCTGAAACTTTGATTTACGTATTGCAAAGAGGCCTTCAATCAGGAACTGAACTCTTTTATGGATCTCTCCTTCATGAAGAATCCCACGAAACCGCTCGAAAATACCATACAATCCATGTGGAGTCAAGTTTTGGAGAATAGATCCACACTCAGTAACAAAACCAACTGCAACTTCAACACTGTCAACTGAGGGGTTTTCAAGCAAAACTGAAACAAGTTCAAGAGCAATTACCTCATGAACTACTTGCTGGTTCACAAGATGAGCAAGGAATTTAACAGCTGCCAACAATCTGGGTTTATCATTGCGTTTGAAGGCTCTTTGAATTTGCAAAATAATCCTCCTCAAAAGAAGATCCCCCACCTCTGGAAACTTGGTGTTAACAACAGCAGCCAATGCTGCAAAAACATCAGTAAGCCCAGGAGAAGCCATTTGGGACCTGATACAAGAGCGGCAAAACAGGCCCCTTCCACGAATCAGATTCTCAACGAACAGTTCTGGAATTATGTTCTTGATATTTGTTGCGGTCACTTTATTAACCACCCCGTTTATACTCTTCCTAAGAGCATCCCACGCCATCCTTTGGGATTCCACTGAGCTTTTGTCCTCTGCATCCTCCATCATCCTAGCCAGCTTAAAAGGAGGGATGTAAACTCCTCCGCTTTCCCCCCACAAATCATGCTTTCTCCTTCTCCTACCATGCTTGTCTTTTTCACCAATTATAATTGGAGTTAACGCCATGAGTTAATTGTAATTGTAATCAGAAGAAGAGAACGATGAGAATATTGAAGACGAAGCGGTGTATATATATATATACTCCAACGTAGGGTCGGTCAGGGTACGTAGATCTCTATAACTCTATTTGAGGAAGGAATGCTCAATTGCCAAATCAATTGCTTTCTTTCCCCTTGCTTTTCAATTTCTTTTAAGAGTTACATTTCGGGAAGTTATATTTTTGGAAACCGGATTTTATATTTTTGGAAAGTTATAGTCTTGAAAGGTTACATTTTGAATGTGATATTGTTTTTAAAAGTGTTATGTGATGTTTTTACTTGAACTGTAATTTGCTGGTCTGATCTGATTTTGTTTGGTTCGGTCTAGTCTGAACTGGTTTGATCTAGTAATATTTGATTTCTTTTTATTTTATAATTATCCAAGTCTGGTCTGATCTATTCCGGTATGTTCTAATTTGGGATAGATTATAGCCCAAATAAAAACATCATTCCTCTTATGTTGATGTGTGATTTAGTTGTGGTTTAAGGATATTATTATTACCACTATAAAAATGTCTTCAAACTATAAAGCGAATGTGAATTATTCTAAGCTTTTTAAGGTATTTAAATTACAAATGTCTGGGTAAAGAATTGTTTTATAGCCTATATGAGAGATTTTTGTCAAGAGTTACGATATTCTATATGGAGTGATAGTTTGTTTAAAACTTATAAATGTTTTTTTTACCTACAAGGACTAACAAAGTCTGAAACGTTCAATAATGACCGTTCACCGGGGAACGGAGACGTTTGCAAGTCATCCCCGAGTCCCCGGTCGAAGTCAGGGAAATTGAAAAGAGAGTCCTCGTTGGGTCAGGATGAGCTGACCCAGCGAGTGGAGGCATTCATAAAGAAGTTCAACGAAGAAATGAGGTTAGAGAGGCAAGAATCGCTAATCAAATACAAGAAGATGATAAATGGCAGAGGACATTAGAATTCCGAGAATATGCCCTATTGAGTCATCCGCCAATTTGAAGGGATGTCCGCCAATTTGAATGCAATACAGAGTGGCAGAATGTAGTCCCTCCTTTTATATCCCTCTTATAAGTTACCTGTGAAAACAAAACAAACTATCATGTAGTACAGAGTATTTCTTGATTTTTATTCCGTAACAAGGTGCATGTATTTTAATGATAATACCATGTGTGTTTCTAAAGAAGTTTTGTCACCTATGGAATTACATGAGACTCTAGATGTCCTCAAAAAAATTAACGAGCATGTGACGTGCTCTTTATTGAGGTAGTCCCTCCGCACGTAGACTTCTACATGATAATTAAACAAATTAAATGATGTACTTTGCTAGTTTGCTTCATTGGGCATTTCCTATTGCTCCTTTTCCGCAGATTAATTTCCATGTTTAAAGATAAAGACAAATGCAAAAATAAAACTCCTATACTAATGTGACAAGGATACGATGTGGCATTATACTTCAATTTGATTGGCTTAAAAAATTGGGTACCGGTACATATTAATTTAATGAAGGCACCGTAGAATTTTTCCAATTTTTATTTCTGAAATCAACTATTAACATGATTAGTTTACAATTTTACAAATATTTCTTACAACAGTTATTGTAAACAAAATGTTAAGTTTACCGATATAAGGCCCAAATAATTGAAAATTGTCAATCTAAGATCTAAAATATCAAGAATTATTTATTATTTTATTTTTTTAAAAAAATTAATTTAACTTTAGTTAACAAATAAACTTTTGTGAAGAAAAAAGAAAAAATGCACAAATGTTCTTTAAACTATCATCACCATATCATTTTGGCATCTAAATTAATAAATCTGTCATTTAGTCGTGTTCTATTTAGAACCGTTTGATAACTCTCAAATTGGTTGAATCGGCTGAATCGGATGATATTTATGATGTTATACTTGAAGCGACCAAATTATGGGAAATTTACATTTAAAATATTTTTTATTAATAAGTTGAGAAATAATTACATATCCTAATAAGAAACTGCTATCCTTTAATAACTTGATTAAACAAAGTCCAAATGTTTAACCAAATAAATTTCAATTTAACCTCAGCTCCATGTAGAATTTACTCGTCAAATAGAAATTTAAATCTTCAATCAAATTACTAAACCTTTTATTATTTCAAAATAAATAATTTTATTGTTTCCCTTTTCCTCAAATATACTTCCTCTGTTGTTTTTTAGTTGAACGCTGTCATTCTCATGTTCTCTAACACACAACTTTGAATATTAATATATCTTTTTAGTGAAACATTACTAATGATATTTTTATAAATTCAATTTAAAAAAATTATATTTTGAAAACTTAATATGGAGGAACTTCATAATTTTTTAATATAGATTTCTAATACATTACAAAATGTCACTTATTTAGCATTGCTTGATAATGTATATTCTTATTTATTGATCAGTATGTCATATTTTTTTTAGGGAAATTTGTATCTTTCGCCCCGTAATTTTCAGTCGTTTTCACTATTGGTCCTGTAACTATTAATATTTGCGATCTGGTATGTTCTAATCTGATTTTATCAAAATTGATCTGGTACACGTATGTTCTATGTGTATTTTGCAACTGTCGAATTCTGACCGAGTTTGATCTAATCTGGGTTGATATATTTTGTTCTGATATAAGACTGATAGCAATATAATTAAAACAATAAATAAAAGTGATGGAATTTATGCAATTGTATTCTAAGCTATTACTTTGGATTAAGGGGGGAATAATAATTATCTCAAACTTTGAAGTTGTGTGAGAAAATACCCCAAATTTGCATATGCAATGTAAATAACGCAAATTCTATATAAAATTATATGTTTTCAGCATGATTATATGGTTTTTACAAATATAAATTTATTATCCCTTTTAATTTACATAATTTTTAAGAAGTTAGAATTAAAAGAAGTCAATTACGGAGTACTACTTGAGAGCTTTTTCTCTCTAGGCGGCCGTCTCCCCTAGGGTTATGGGTTGTTTTCTCCTCTTTCGTCTTCAACGAAGTGCAGCTTTCTTGTGCGGCTTTCGTCCGCCTTTCGTAAGGTTTTCTTCTTCGGTAGACCGCAACGCCTATATGGCGGCCAAAGGTTGTGTACCCCTTGCACTAGGTGGAGAGTTTCAAGAATGTCGTTCATGGTTGGGATCAGAAGGTCATGGAAGAAGTGTGGGGCTAGGGGTTGGAACAGATCTGGACCGGAGACAATAAGTGGAAGTAGACCTGTCAACGGGTCGGGTTCGGGCCGGAACATAGTATCCCACACCCGGACCCGTTAGCCTCTATAGGGTTCCAGACATGACCCATATATCCGGCGGGTCTAGAACTAATGTTCCGGACCCATACCCATTGGATCTCGGAACCGGGTCGAGTAGACCCAACCCGTCTCACGAAACACTTTAAACATGAAAGTTCCAGATCTACACATTCAAAATGCAACACATATGGTGCACTGGTTTTGCCACGGTGGAATAAACTTAAGTTCTTCAAAAACATAAGTTTAATGTAACAAATAAGGTGCACTGGGCAACTGCAAAAACATGAGTTTTATCCAAAAGTCTCTTTTAATCTGTGATCATAAAAACAACAAAATCAAAAATAACTCCATCTGACTTTTACAAAAGCATAATTCCAAAAGCATAACTCCAGTAAGTTGATTTCACATAGAAAAGAGCAATCATTCTATGCTTTACATTCTGCAAAAACATTCTAGCACTAGATTATGACTCTTCCAGTGCTCTACTACAACTCCATGTCTCTCTGCAAAATCTCCCTGCAAAAACAAAACTGAAAATTGAAAAAAAGATAGAATAATTATTAACAATAAGTGTAATCTATCATTAAAGCAAACCCCGTGTTATGATATTCATTTTGTAAAAGAATTGAGAATGATCTTACACATCTAATTATGATAATCTGGCAGATTTGGATGACTTTTCGATTTACTGTTGTTCATCCTCGTACTCTAGAATAGCATATAAATTAAAGGGAAAACTGTCAAATAGGTTCTCGAACTTTCATAAAAAAGTCAATTAAGTCCTATAGGAGACTCTGTCCGGTCGTCGCGATTTGGGGCGGTTCCCGGTGGAATTTTTTGATGAAATTTTGTGAGCATCTTATTCATCAAATCTAGTTTACTCATACCAAATTTCAGCTAAATATTTAATCGGGAGCGCATTCAAATTAATTCGAGAACGCAAAAATGCGCAGTTATCTTCAAGAATTAATTTGAATGTGTTTCCGATTGCATTTTTAGCTGAAATTTGGTATGAGTAAACTAGACTTGGTGAATAAAATGCTCAAAAAATTTCATAAAAATATTCCTTCGAGAACTGCCCTAAATCGCGACGGCCGGACTGAACCTCTTATAGAAGGACTTAATTGACCTATTTATGAAAGTTCGAGGACCTATTTGACAGTTTTCCCTAAATTAAATTAGTCACCAAAATTTCTAGGTCACGCATCAGAGAGTGAGAAGAGAACTCCTATTTCATCGATGGATGAACTTTGGGATTCAGATACGAATGATGATATTTGTAACAAAGCTTTGTTGGTCACAACAGAAAACTGCTTGCGTACAGAGAATTTGAACACTCAAATGAAGATATACAGGAAAAAGTATCAACGGTCCCATCACATGAGAACTAGATCCCAAACTTGGATGGAGCATTAACTATGTGTCCGAGTCTTTGGGTTTTCTTGGGAGGGGCATTAATTCTGTTGTACTTCAGGTTGGGTTGTTTTTCGTCTTTGTTCTTTCTCTCCTTATTACTTTTTTCTTCCTTTTTATTCTTTATTTCTTCTTGCTTCTTTCCTTTCATGTAATCTTCTTCGTTATTTCCCTTTTAAAATTTCCACTTTGGCAAAAAAAAAAAGAGAAAAAAATTATTAAGATAAGTATGATCTTACTTCTTTTATTCAATGATGGCAGCCAATCACATGTTGTTATCAAAGCTTCCACTACATCTGAACGCAGATTCCGATGCCACCGTAGTTGCTGGAATTGCGAGAATATCACGAGCAATTTTGTTAAGCACAGGAAACTTTGGACTATTTGCCTTCCACCAACACCAAGCTAGTATGTCAAACTTTTCCTTTCTTGGAAATACCTGCTCATCTAAATATGACTGCAATTCAGACTTCCGTTGAACAAATCCAGATGAAGAAGATTCCTGGTACCATTTATCAAATGCTGACATATCATCTCCATCTTCCGTACATGCATCCGAGGCTCCCTCACCAATATCATACTCAAATGAAGTAGTAGAGTGAAAAGGTTCACCCCCATATTCAACAAAGAGATCGGTCAAGGCATTGCGAACTTTATCCAAGTATCTTGATCCCTTTTCTCTATGAATAGAATTATTGTAATACTCCATAAAAGCCAACTTATACCGCGGATCAAGCACTACCGCAATAGCTAAAACTAGGCAACATTCATCCCAATATTTTTCATATTTAGCCCGCATAGGAACTGCCATGTTCTTAATGTAGTCATGCTCACTATGTTCCCACTGCCTCAACTTAATACTAAGATTGCATATATCGGGGGAAAACACATTTGCTGTGGGAAAGGTTAGAACCACTAAAATGACAAGTGGCATCATAAAATTTTGTCAAGCACCCGTGAACAACACCTGCAACTTTCCAATCACTTTATGAAGGATTAAACTTGTAAGTTATGTCAAGTTGTTCTAAGCGACGGAAAGCTTCTTTTAAAGGTAGAGCACTCTCAAGCAACAAGAAAGTCGAGTTCCGTCCGTTAGCTACATCTAAACCCACCCGTTTTTTATTTTTCAATTTACATTGGTTAATAGTGCTCTCAAACTTCTGGTTCGCTGAAGTTGATCTTTTCAAGTACTTTATAGTATCTCGAATGTTTTGAAGCAAACCACCCACAAGACTTAATCCATCTTGAACAATTAAGTTTAAAATATGTGCACTACATCGAACATGAAAAAGATCACCTCCTAACAACAACAAAGATTTGTCCAGAAGCCATGATTTTAAAAACTTAATCATTGAATCATGTGCTGATGCATTATCAACAACAACAGAAGATAACTTCTGATCAAGATTCCACTCCAACAAGATATCCGAAATAAATCTAAACAATGTTTCACCATCGTGTGGATATGGAATGACTTTGAAAGAAAGATTT